TATATATATATATATATATATATTTTGCAATTCATATGTCTAATATATTTTAAATTTTTTAAAAATAAATTGTGAACTTTAAATTATAGAAAATAAAAAATATTTTAATTACTATATTTTACAGACAACACAATCATTATAATTTATCAGATATTTAAATAATTTATTTAATATTTTTAAATAAATCAAGATCCCACCACAACCCAAGGCCTACTGCGATCAATTAGATTTAGAGGATCGGGAGTTAGGGTTTCTTTCGCACCGCTGCGTCAGAGTCTTGCGCCACCACGCTCGCAACCGCCACCGCCACCGCCACCGGCCAAAGAATTCACAACCCCAGGTATGTTCTCTCACTATGCGATTTTAATTTAAGAAATTACTTTATATTTTGATGCGCTTAAGCTTAAGCAATTCCTCTGCTCTGTATACATATGTATGCATTGAACTCTGTTGACTTGGTTTTGATAACGGAGAGTGCATGTTAGTTCTTCATCTATTGTGTTTTTCTATCTCTGTTTAAACAAACTAGCTCTGCAATTAAAATGGGGAGGAATGCTATTGAGAAGTGCCAACTCTAACACATGCGTATAATAAAGTTGAAAAGATCCTTGACTTCCCTATTAGCTATTTAGTTACAATTACAAATGGATCAAATCTAGTGTGAGTTTCCGATAATAAAACAAAATATGGAAGAGGGCTAAATTCTGCGTCACATACATGAGATAAAGTATATTCCAAAGTAATTACAATGCCATGTAAAATTTCCTAGGGTTTTTGGCTCAGGAAACTGAAGTTTCTGACACTAGTTAAGCCACAGGTTAAAAAATAACAACGTAAAAGTAAATCACTATCCTTTATGATGATGTTGATTTGTTCTCATACGCTACTCCTTTTAACTTTTGTTCTCTTGATCTACTACCTAATTTTACTATGTTTTTTTTTTTTAACAAAGTGATGTCTGCAATTTACCATCAAGATTAGGGGATAGATGTTTGGTTTGTACTTGTGTTAATTGGTGTAGATTGAACTCATTGAACCAATTTACTTTTATCTCTGTCTGTTATAGTGTAATGTAATAATCCTTCTGATTATTTTAATTATTACTAGACTCGCATGAATTTTATAAATTGTTTAGCGTTTTAATTTTATATGTTTGAGTGCGTTTGAAGAAACAAATCAAAGTTTGGGGTTGGGTCCTATAACCTCTAAATAGTCAGATTGATAAGGTGTAGAAAAGCGACCATATTATAGAAAACTAGTTCCCCCCTGTTCCCCCCGTTTTTTTTTAATATTCTATGACATGAAGTTTGAGGGCAGGGGATACAAGGGGGCTTGGCTTATGCTGAATTCTGCTGCCAGAATTATTAATTACATAAAGGAAACTTATGTGTTTTTTTTATTATGAATTATTATTACTTTTTAAAATGTTGATCTTTCCAACTGTGCTAAGTAGACTTGTATGTTAGTGTGCAAATATTTTACATTTTATTTCAGATTTCTATATTGTGAGGAAGTAGCAATATATGGGAGAAGTTACTTCTCCTACACTTTGATTGTCTTATTTAGCAGTGTATCATGGAACAATTTTAAGTGTGAAATTTGATTTTGTTCTTTGCCATAGAAATCATAATTAATATCTATTGTTGTTCCTTGTTTCTATTTTATTTCAGGTTTGTGTCGAGCTATTATCTGTAATAATATTAATCTCATGGATGAGAAAGCCAAGAAAAAGGGGGGAAAAGATGTTGAAGTAATGAATAGTAATATTCCTGATGGTAAGGAAGTGCAGTTCTTGGATGACAACCAAGAAAGAAAGATGAAGAAAAGAAAAAAATATGATTCTTCATTAGATGGAATGCAAGAATCGGACTTTTCAAAACCAAGCAAAAAAATGAGAAAGGTTAATGGGTTAAAAAACAATAAAGGTGAAGATGATGACCAACACAAGCAGATAAAGAAATCAGGTGGTGAAAGCCAACACAAGGATTACAATGAAGATAAAGATGGCAGCCACTACGAGAAGAAGAAAAAGAAATCAAGTAAGGAAAGCAAAAGTCAGGTGTATAATGAGTTTGAAAGCAAAGAAGGTGGAGATGATGATCAAGGTAAGCATATCAAGAAGATAAAGAAATCAGGTGATGAAAGCCAACACAAGGATTACAATGAAGATAAAAATGACAGCCATTACAAAAAGAAGAAGAAAAAGACATCGAGTAAAGAAAGCAAAAGTCAGGCGTATGGTGAGTTTGAAAGCAAAGAAGGTGATCAACCTTCAGCTAGAGTCAAGTCAATTGTCACTGAAGTTGAGGACCAAAGCAAGACAGAGACAAAGAAGAAAGCTAAGGCAGATACCAGCGAATCTCCTAACCCTGGTCACTCTGGATCATCCAAACCCAAAAGAGCAACTTTTTCTGATCAAGTGGATGTTTGTTGTGATGGCTTAGTGCGTGGGAAAAGTCAGGCATGTAATGAGTTTGAAAGAAATGAAGGTGGAGATGGTGATCAAGGTAAGAAGATGAAGAAGAAGAAATCTGGTGAAGATAGCCAACATGTGGATTACGATGAATTTAAAAGCAATGAAGCTAAAAATGATGGGCAACACAAGAAGGAAGAGAAGAGAAAGAAGAAAAAATTGAGTGAAGAAAGCAAAAGCAAGTATAATGAGTTTAAAAGCAATGAAGATGATGGCCAAGGTAAGAAGATGAAGAAGAAGAAGCTGCATGACAAAAGCAAAAATAAGGAGAATAGTGAGTTAAATAGCAATGAAGGTGATCAACCTTCAGCTAGAGTCAAGTCAATTGTCACTGAAGTTGATGACCAAAGCAAGACAGAGACAAAGAAGAAAGCTAAGGCAGATACCAGTGAATCTCCTAACCCTGGTCACTCTGGATCATCCAAACCCAAACGAGTAACTTTTTCTGATCAAGTGGATGTTTGTTGTGATGGCTTAGTGCGTGGGAAAAGGTTTACACCTGAAGAAGATAAGAGGATTGAATTGGCTGTTTTTGACTATATAGAGTCTCATGGTTTGGGAGATGAAGGTCTAGATATGGTTCTCAATTGCATACATTATCCTGCAGTTAGAGATTGTTGGAAGGAAATTGGGTTAGCCTTACCTGAGAGGCCTCAACTTAGCGTGTATAATCGAGCTCATGTTTTGTTTGAAAGAAGTGAGAAGCGTGGGTGGACACCTGAGGAGTTAGAATTTTTACGGAAGATGAAGGAACAACATGGATCCGATTGGAAATCAGTAGCTGTAGCATTGGGAAAACATCGATTTCATGTGAAGGATGCATGGCGTAGAATAAAATCAGCCGATGCAAACAAAGGACGATGGATCCAAGAGGAGTATCAAAAATTATTTGATTTAGTAAACGTGGATCTACGTGGGAGAGCTTCACAGGTTCATAGAAAAACAAAACATGGTATGTTGCGAGATAATATTGGTTGGGAGGCAATTGGTGACAAATTCACTAGAAGCAGTTCAAGTTGCTGCGAAAAGTGGTATAACAAATTAACATCACCTATGGTTGCTCATGGTGTATGGAGTGATACTGATGACTATCGCCTCGTAAATGCTTTATTTACTTTGGATGCTTGCTGCATGGAGGAGGTAGATTGGGACAATCTGATTGAGAATAGGTCTGGTGATGTTTGTAGAAAACGTTGGAACCAAATGGTTCAATGCATTGGAGAGCATGGTGGGAAGTCATTTGCTGAGCAGATTGAAATTCTTGCAAAAAGATTTTGCCCCGATTTATTGGAAGTAAGAGAGGCCTTTGATGCAATACCTGTGAGTTGTTGAGGTTATTATCCTATAGGATGGAGTGGTTCTACGAACTTGGAATGTATTAGTTTATGATTATCTGTTCTTGTGGACATATTTTAAATTGGATTCTGCATTGCAGTTTGGTGTAGTGTTTTCTTATGATGAATTTTATCCGTTCTTTTGTCCAGTTAAGTCCTAGTTTGAAAATGTTTTTGATTGAAGTTATAGAGTAAATTAAAGTTTGATGTCAATTAGTAGTTATTGCTGCTCGTTGGATTTTGATCTAGTCTTGCTAAAATGTGAACTTCATTTAAAATCTTATGGGGGGCATATTTGTTGGCCCAAATAGCGATTGGTGGATACTAATAACTCAGTTCCGATTTTGATTTTAATTATAATATCATGATCAAGAAAAGATTAAAAAGGAATTAATATGATTATTTTTAACTAGTTTTATTACATATTCAAGTTTTATTTTAAATAGTTATATTTAATGTTTAGTTACAAGTGAATAAATAGAAGATAAAGTTAACAATAAATTAAAAAGTACAATAGAAGTTTAATTTTATTAATTTTATGTTGCTAATATTTAAGTTTATAAAAGAATTTAATTTTTTTCTTTAGCATTCAATAATTTTAATCTCATTATATATATTCGTAATTATGAAATTGATACGAAGTATCCATTAAAAAAAATAGTGATTAATTTCTATTAAGATCATGTGCATTCAGAAAATGAGTATTATTTTATAAATATAGTCTATTTTATACTCAAAGTCATGATTTAAGCTTTAAATAATTTGGTTGAAAGATACAAGTTGTTTCTATTTGTATGGACTAATATTAGTTAATCACATTTTAGATGATAATGAGCATGGAAATAAAACACAACTATTGTATTAATGAAAACAAGTTGTAGTCAAATGCGAAGATCTTTTGCAATTTTGTTTTTTCTTTCTTGTTTTATATAAAGGACAATGAAGTATAATATTTAGATTGATCCTCTCTTCTTTCACAATAGATAAAAAAAATTTGGTAGCAAATAAGTGATTTTTACCCCTCCCTCTCCAAAAAAAGTTCTACGATTCTTTGCAAAATTGTAATTAATTTTTTTAATAAAGGTGAAAAGACAATTTTTTTTCTTCTAACAATTATAGTTGAAAATATTATTTTGTAAGTTACCTTGAAATGGATGGGTGTAAGACCCGTGCCTTTTTTCGTTGTTCCTTCACACTCATTTCCTTCTATCTTTCCTTTTCCACTCACTTTTTTCGTTCGCTGTTCACCCTAATTCTTGAATTCATATAGGTGCTGGATAGCAGAGGAGCTAGAAAGCTTGACGCCCGGAGTTGATTTACATTTCCATTTTTTTCTTCTTCTTCTTCTTCTTCTTCTTCTTCTTCTCTTTCTTGTGAGCTCGGAATCGAAATTCTCCTCCCTCTGAGGTAAGAGAAGTTAGAATCTTGGGTTATTGATTGAATAGAAGCTTACAATTTGTTGGATTTTTGAAATTTTGAGCTTTGGGGGTAGATATGTAGTTGGTTGCATGTGAAAATTGAAACCTTCTTCTTGATGATCTCTTTGAAATCTTGATGCATGCATATGGTATTCCTTGGTGTTTCTGGGTTGTATGAACAAAATGAGTAGAGATTATGAAGGTAAATCATGTTTAGGGGTAAAAATTGATGGATTATAGGTGAAAAACGAAAGGGAAAGCCATGAAAGTGCAGAAAGCTCTACACTCAGCGATGGAGCTCTAAACCAGCACTACAACTGAGAGAAAATAGGGAGACCAAGATCTAGCACTGCAACTCCAGGTTGGGCGTTGCAACCTTGGGAGGAATTGATTTGGCAAAGACCTGGAGCTATAGCTCCAAGTTGGGCGCTGCAGCCCCGAGAGAAAACAAATCTGGCATAAAGTTAAAGCTAGAGCGTTGAATTGAGTGATGTAGTGCTAGGGGTAGATGATCGAATTTGGCCTTAGTGTCTTCATGAAAGTTGTAGCCTTGGATGTTAGTTTTCCAATGACACTGGATTCATCCAAAAAGGGGGGGGGTCTAGAATTTGGTCTGTATATTTTGTTCTCCAAGATAGTAATGCCCCTGACCTAGTTGACTAGAAAGGGCCAACCTTTCATTTGGACGAATGCATGTGAACAAAGTTTTGAAGACTTGAAGAAGATGTTGACTATTTCTCCTGTGTTGGTGTTGCCTGATTTTAGTGAGTCATTTGAGATGTACTATAATGCTTCTCACTAGGGATTGAAGTGTGTATTGATGTAGAATAAGAGGGTAGTTGCATATGTTTCAAGGCAGTTGAAGAATCATGAGAGAAATTATCCCACTCATGACTTGGAGTTATCAACTGTTATTTTTGCCTTGAAGATATGGAGGCACTACTTGTATGGTGCTAGGTTTAGCGTCTTTAGTGTTTATAAGAGTTTGAAGTATTTATTTGATCACAAGGAGTTAAACATGAGACATAGACGGTGGATGAAATTTATGAAGGATTATGATTTTTAGTTGATGTATCACCTATGGAAGGCCAATATAGTGGCGGATGCCCTTAGTAGGAAAACCATCCACAATCCACATGTTTGCCATGATGGTGAAGGAATTAGAGTTGGTATAGAAATTCAGAGATATGAATCTGTGTGTGGAGTTTTCTGAAGATCACATTAGTTGTGGGATGACCACCATAACTAGTGAGTTTTTTAAGCAAGTTGGTTGAAATAGTTGTAAGATCTTGAGTTGGTGAAAATTTTTGGGTTGCTACACACAAAAAAAGCAATTGGTTTTGAGCTAGGTGGAGATGAAATTTTGAGGTTTAAGGGTAGAATTTGCCTACCTCAAGATTCTGAGTTGAGGAAGGCTATGTTGGAGGAAGGCCACAAGAATAAGTTTAGCATACATCCTGATATGGCTAAGATGTACCAAGACCTCAAGAAGATTTTCTGGTAGTCTAGTATGAAAAGACATTACAGAGTATGTGGCGACTTGTCTGACTTGTTAAAAGGCAATGGTTGAGAACTAGAAGCCTAGTTGTTTGTTGTAGATGATGGAAATTCCTGAGTGGAAGTGGGATAATGTCACGATGGATTTCATTGTTAGGTTGCCTAGGTCGATCCGGAACATCGATGTTATTTGGGTGATTGTTGATAGATTGACAAAGTGTGCGCACTTTCTTCCCATCAACAAGAAGTGATCCTTGGAGAGGCTTATACAAGTGTATATTAGGGAGATAGTACGTTGCCTTCTAGTATTATCTTTGATAGGGATCTAAGGTTCACTTCTAGGTTTTGGTAGAGTTTACATCAAGTTCTAGGAATGCGATTGAGGTTAAGTTCTGCCTATCACCCACAGACGGATGGACAGTCAGAGAGGATGATTCACTCATTGGAGAACTTGTTGAGAGCTTGCATTCTAGATCATCTAGGTAGTTGGGAAGAAGTGTTGCCTCTAGTGGAGTTTACCTACAATAATAGTTATCATGCAAGTATCGGTATGGCGCCTTTTGAGGCTCTATATGGTAGGAGGTGTAAGACTCCATTTTGTTGGTACCAGGAAGGTGATTCAGTGGTGGTAGGGTTAGAGTTGGTTCTACAGACTACTAAGAAGGTGAAACAAATCCTAGAAAGGATGAGGACTACCTAGAGTAGGCAAAATTCTTATGTAGAAAAGAGGAGGAGGCCTCTTGAATTTGAGAAGGGAGAACGTGTATTTCTGAAGGTGACACCCACTATTGGAGTGGGAAGGTCTATAAGGGCCAAGAAACTGACCCCTAGGGTTATTGTTCCTTACCAAATCCTTCATCGTGTAGGTCCTGTGGCGTATCAGTTGGCTTTGCCACATTTTCTTTCCAATCTACATGATATGTTTCATGTGTCCCAGTTAAGGAAGTATGTTCATGACCCAAGTCATATTGTTGAAATGGATGAAGTTCAAGTTAGAGAGAACCTAACATATGAGAAGAAACTTGTAGCTGTGATTGATTTCAGGTTGAAAGAGTTAAAAGGCAAGTTTATTGACTTGGTGAAAATTTTGTGGGATGCAGCTATTGATGAGGCTACTTGGGAGGTTGAGTAGTAGTGTAGAGAGTAGTATCCTTCCCTATTCCCAAGTAAGTTTATTTTCGGGGACAAAAATTCTTATTGTTGGGGAGGTTGTAAGACCCGTGCCTTTTCTCGTTGTTCTTCCACACTCATCTCCTTCTATCTTTCCCTTCCCACTCACTCTTTTCAGTTGTTGAACCTCATTCACCCTAATTCTTGAATTCACATAGGTGTTGGACAATAGAGCAGTTAGAAAGGTTGAAGCCCGAAGTTGGTTTGCATTGCCATTCTCTTCTTCTTCTTCTCTTCCTCGTGAGCTCGAAATCGAAATTCTTCTCCCTTTGAGGTAAGGGATGCTAGAATCTTGGGTTGTTGATTGAATTGAAGCTTACAATTTGTTGGATTTCTAAAAATTTGAGCTTTGGGGTTAGATATGTAGTTGGTTGCATGTGAAAGTTGAAACCTTGTTCTTGATAATCTCTTTGAAATCTTGATGCATGCATGTGGTATTTCTTTGGTTTTTGGGTTGTATGAACAAAATGAGTAGAGATTATGAAGGTAGATCATGTTTAGGGGCAAAAATTGATGGATTATAGGTGAAAAATGAAGGGGGAAGCCATGAAAGTGCAGAAAACTCTATACACAGCGTTGGAGCTCTGAACCAGCACTATAACTAAGAGAAAATAGGGAGATCAAGATCTGGCGCTGCAGCTCCAGGTTGGGTGCTACAACCTTGGGAAGAATTGATTTGGCAAATACTTGGAGCTACAGCTCCAAGTTGGGCATTGCAACCCTGGGAGAAAACAAAGCTGATAGAAAGTTAGAGCTGGAGCGCTGCAGCGTTGTAAGGCCAAGGGTAGATGATCGCATTTGGTCTTGGGGTCTTCATGAAAGTTATAAACTTGGATGTTAGCTTTTCAATGGCACTGGAATCACCCAAAAAATGGGTCTAAAACTCCAGTTATGACCTTTTTAGTGAGCAAAGGTCAAGTTGTCGGCATTTAGGAAAACGGTTACGATTTTTACAATTTTTAGCATGGTAGATGATAGAATTATAACCTGAGTTATTCATGAAAGTTGTATAAAATCTTCTTGTTTTTCATATGAGATAAGGATGAGAGTGATTGGAGTAGTAGAACTCCCTATGGGATGTTTTATGTGAAGGTTGTTAGTGTAGGAATAAGTGATTTTGATAACTTGCATGTGATAC